ATCTGTGTAGCCTTAATTGTGTTTTCAAGTCCTTCGGATGTCTTTTGAGGACCTCAAGGCGAAGCAGGCTGAAGTGCTGAAGAGCTGGTGCACCGAACTGAAGGACAAGTCCATCATGTCTCGAATGGAGAGGGCATTCATCTTCATGCTTGCCAAGTGATGCAGATCTGATGCCCCTTGCAATAATTGCAGCAATGCCAATATGTGGTCCAGGAGCGACCTCATTCTTCCTGCATCAGATTTCTTTGCCTGGAGATTGGCTGCGGGACTTCCGTTCAAGCCTCAGAGTGCTGGTCACAAGGGCAAGCGTACAGTTCTTCCAGTTTCCCCTTTCTGACTCGGCCTCGCCACACGATCTCATCAAAGAAACTGCTTGAAGAAAGGGGCAGGGGAATAAACAAGGACCAAGAAAGATGCGACTGGTTCAAATCAAAGGGGTCAGCCATAGAACCTGGCACAGCCAGAAGGCCTTCAGGCGAATCCAAAGCGAGGAAGGCATGCAGAAGTCAAAGAAAAAGCGCAGAACGAAGCAATCCGGCTGTCAAGATACAAGCTTTGAGCTCCGCAACGCCAAGCCTGCAGTCACATTTTTCCAAACCATCTGCCTCTGACCCTGACCCTAAACCATGGCATCCTCAAAGTCTGAACCATAATCCCTTCAAAGCTGACCGTATTCTACTTCTACATGCGTCAACAGGCATGATTGAGCCCAAACTCAGGACTTGTATTGGGGCACGGTAGGATCAAGCAGGAAACTTCACAGGGCTGTCAAAGATGCAAATGATGAGGCAGCAGATGTCCGAAACGAGATGATCCAGGCTGTGGCAAAGTGACGAGAGCCGGGTTTCTGTAGTTTGTTGCCTTCAGCTGCCAGGTGTTGCGGAAGTTCCCTGCCGCCAGGCTGGGAGTTCATCTGTTCAAGACCACGAAGCTCCTCTCTACAAACTTCAAACTGCTGATCTTGAGGTATATACGGATCAATCCTGACGAGGAAGCCAGAGCAGCATGTTGATGTTCATTTCAGCCAAAGCTGCCGTTTACAGCTGCAGTCGCACATGCATGTTCCCGGTCCTGGGGGATCCTACCCATGGTATGGTCCCCCCCTCAAACAGCATTAGAAATAAGATGGGATATGCAGCAGGATCATTTACGAATACCCGCACGTTCTTAATATACCACCAGAACCACATGGACAGGACAACCAGAAACACACGACCACAGGGGGTAGAGAGAATCACCAGAACAGCATAGATACCACAGGGTGAAGCTTTGAGTTTCCTGCAAGTGCAGTCACATGTCCAACTACCAATGCATGATGTCCTCTGCTTAAGGTTCTTGTGTAGGGACTACAAGCACCTCTGTGCCTGAGTGTAGAAAGAGACAGCTGACCTGACCGCCTTGCTGTCTGTACCGTAGAGAGGACAGTTGCCTCTCGGAGGGGGGGACAACCACCAGCACAACAGGACCACAACAACCACGGGGTCCACAGAGGGGAGGAGCAGAACCACATGGACAGGACCGTCAGAACCACAGGGACCACAGGGGCGGGAGGGGAATCACCAACACAGCATAAGCAGCATAGGTGCCACAGGCCACAACAACCACAGGGTCCACAGAGGGGAGGAGGGGGACCATACCATGGGGGGGGATGGGGGGGGGGGTAGCAACCCTGGATCATGCATGTGGCTGCTTGGGTCGAGCACTGTCCTTGCATGAGGAGACGCAGCTTTTCGAAAAGGCTCCAGACCTGCAACGTCCTCAGTGTTGAAGAAAATTCAGGATCTGAACTTCATGCACTGTAACAGATTCCTGCGCATCCCGTATATTATTCTCTCGAAGCTGTTGGAGCTTACAGCACAATTATACCCCAGAAGAGGCCCTACAACATTTCATGGTAGCCGCTATATCCTGTTGAAACCACATCAGACCTGACCCCCATGGCAGGGAGCCCAGAAATCCCAAAATTCCCAGATCTGCCCCAGAACGGCCTTACAGATCAGGCTTAAGTTGAGGCGGTTTTGCTGTTTGTTTGGTGTTAATGGCTTGGAGTCTACGGCTGAGGGCTCCAGACCTATTGGGATGGGTTTGTCTGGTCAATTGTGAATACATTCGCCAAGTCGACCCGTCCATAAGCGCCTAACGTGGTATTTCGCAGATGCTAGTTTGACCTATATCGTGCAGGCGTAGCAGGTGCCTGTCCCTTCAGTTCGGTGCGGATGAGGCAGCAGGGAAATGCACTGCTTTCTGCCCTTTGTTTTTGTACATGTGCAAGACTGCCAGCAGATTGAAGTTTGTTTTCTTCGTGCTCGCCACAGGCTTTAGCCTATATGCACAAGCACATTCGTCCGAAGGTCCCGCGGCCAAGTTGAAAAAAGTCACCAAGACAATACTCACACATGTGGTCTTGTTTTTGAAGAGTGGCGCAGATTAGGCACCATAGTTTGAGCCTATCTAGAATTTCACATGCAGCCTCTCTGACTGTGAAGGCATTGGCCATGCGATTTGGGCCCATGATAGTCACATCCACTGTGAATGCCAGCAACAAGATGGCCCAAATTTTATGTGCAACGCGATTTCCGCTTGTTGTGTTTTGGGCTGCTGTGGGGCGGACTGAAAAACAACAGGCACCTGGTTGCAAGTTGCTTAGGCCACCGACTTGTCTCGCTTCCTTGTGGAAGCCTTGGCAAGTCAGGATTCGATTTGCACAGGCTCCGCTGCAGAACGGATCGCATTGACTGGTACAAAGGTGAAAGACCGTGTCGGAACCTGCAGAGATGTCTTGGCACCCACATACGCGTACGCCTTGGCACTTGGGTCTGGACGGTCCGAACCACTTCTTGTCACTGCTGCTCACACATGCTTGAAGGCTTCCCCACTACGCCTGCTTCACATCCTAGAGCGCTCAGGCAGTTTTGAGGGGATCCAGTCATGAAGTATCAGCCCTGGGAAGTCAGGGTCCCCAGGTGTTGTTACTCTAACTTTCTCGGCTGCAGGTTGGTCAGGTTTTAAGTCGAATGGCCTTCCTGCCAGGAGTGTGCATACAATACGAAATCGCCGAGCACGAAGCTAAGAAAGCGATCTTCAACGGCTGGAGTGCAGCCCACCATGCTTTACTCGTGTTTGGCAATGAGGAAAGATCCTGAACCCTCTGCTGTGGTCTTTTTCGCGTCGCAGCCTGAACTTTGAAGGGGCAGTGAGGCAGCCAACAATTCGGCACTCGCACCTGGAATAAGAAGCCTTTGCAGGTCCGACATTGAAGGGTGGCGGCCTTGTCTCTGATAATGATTTAAGGAGCAGGGTGAGTGTAGGATGCATAATTCCTGTATGCTTGCCAGCTTCCCACCGCGCAGCTTGCACTGACGTCCATGCCTCCGCTGTTGGCTTTCCAGGTTTAGTCCCATCACTGGGCAGCTCCCAGAGAGGCGCTGATGGTTCGCAGATGGAAGGGATAGGCATAGATCAAGGCATATCAAGGCCGTGTGTCCTGCAGCTGGTGCCCGGTAACGCATCGCAGTGACTTTCCGCGGCTGCACTTCCGGCCTGTCCCCAGGGCTTTCTGCAGACCCACCGACAAAATGAAAGAGATGGAGAAGGGCATCAAGGAGGCCGGCCTTTCTATGGGCTGTGAAAATGAGTTTCAGGAAGTTTGCAGAGTTTTAGGAAGTTGCAAACAGCTGAGCCTTGGCAGACTCTGGCCAGCTTCCAACTGACGCACGTGAGATTCAAAAAGGGCCAGTGTCGGGCTCAACTCCTGCAATGGTTTTGGGATTCCTTGGTTGCACAGGAAAAATCCTAATTCAGGCACTCCGACCTGGTCAAACAGGAGATCCGGTGGTGCAACAGCTTTCCTGGCCTGTTTCGGTCCTTCAGCTAGGCTCATTGCCCAGCCTGCGCGTGCCAAAACAATCTTTGGACACCCCAGGTTTGCTGTCTGCCCTGGTGGCAGCGTTCACTGCGTTGGACTCTCAAAGGGTGACCGCAAGCAGCTAAGTCCCGACAAACATGCTCGGTGCTGAGGCAGGACTACCAGCAGGAGGTCCGGGAACAACTTGACAGAAAAGGCCAGGCAGTGTGTTTTTTTGTTCCATCCAAGCTGCATTGACGCCAATTGATGCTGAGTTTATTGCAGGCTTGGCGGCTTTGGTGTGGGACTCAGCGCCTGTTTTCCTGAAACGCTCTTTACGGCCAAGCGCTCGAGATCTAAGAGTGAGTGCAGCCGAGGTCAGAGGAGTTCAGCTGGAGGTGCTGCCCAAACATGGCCTTGCAGCTGAGGCCGGTCGACTCAAAGGGCACTTGAGGCCACTCGAAGACCCCAAACAGCGTCAATTTTTACAAGTGCCTGTTCGCTTGACGTCCTCCTGGGGGCAGCAGCTGGTGCCTAGATATTGTCTTCTTTTACAGTTCATCTTGAGATGAGCCGACAGCCAAGTCATCTAGGTCAAAAGACTTGATGTTTTGACCGATGCAGGACCACGAATGGAAAACTTTGAAGTGGAAGCTTTGGTTTTTTGGCTTCCTGGACGAGGGCAACGTTAGGCCGCATCGTGCTTCGAACAGATTCTTTCGTTGAGTTCCTAAAGCCCTTAGTTGCTGGCTGCTGCCTGACAAATTGTTAAGCGTAGATGTAATTTAAGCTGTCGACCCCTGACAGGCTGGCCGATGAAGCGATGCATGCTTCACAAGTCAGGACACTTCATGTACAATGTGTCTTGCAGCTTTGGAATCAAAGTTTGCTGGGGTCTGTGCACTTACCAGACCAACTTTCTGCTCCACTCCCTGAAATCTCTGCAGATGTTAAGTACTCACTGGCACCCCCGTCCATCCAAGCACGCTTCAGGATATGTGGTCTTCTACCGTGGAGAAAGGCAGCTCCCAGTGTGTGAGATCGTGTGAAGCGGAAGCAGTGATTGTTAGATAAAGCTTTTGCACAGATGAATTCTGCAGCCTGGCTCTACTCCCTTGATCAGCAGGCTCCTAACCGCGAAGCGCTTTGAAGAGCCATGTCTTTCTGGGGTTTGCGCTCGTGCCTGTTGGGCGTCGCATTGGGATCTGCCTGGTCCGCAAACTGCAAGTACCCTGGGGGCGAGTGCTATGAGTTGAAACTTCAAAAATGCCAGGGCTCAGACAATTGGACCATTCACGGCCTGTGGCCTGAGTGGGACAATGGCTGTCCTGGATCGCAGTTTGATATCACTGCCCTAGCATCCATGCGGTCCGATTTGGACCAGAAGTGGATGTCTTGCCCCGAGTTTGGTGAATCCAACGAGAATTTCTGGAAGCACGAATGGGAAAAGCATGGGACGTGCTCTGGAATGCAAGAGGCTAGCTTCTTTCAAAAGGGTTTGCAGCTCTACGACCAGTACAAAGTCAAATGTGCCAGTGGGAACGACGGAAAGGAGTGTGCAGTCTGTTTCAACAAGGACCTTGCCACTCTGGAGACGTGCCCCAGCGAAGCATGGCTCACTGTATGAGCTGAGCCTCCCGACTTTCAGAGTACTGTTTGGGTGCTCGAAGTCATAAAGGAATGTATGTGGCTGAAGCAAGTTGATGCTGTGAAGTTGGCTGCCGCTCTGTGACACCAGCCAGATTAATGAAGGGATTCTACTGTAGCCGCTGCAAGAAGTCTAAAAGGCAATGAGTGACTGATGTCAGCAGAATTGAGCGCCAAAAAGCGGCGAATACCGTCGAATATCTCGCAGGGAAGCAAGGTGCATGCCACTAGAAGGAGATGCCTTGCAAGAGACAGCGATGAGCCCCCACATGTTGCAGACAACCCCTATCATGGCCAGCAGAATCACATGAGCAGGGCAACTCCGAGTGGTGGCTTCCCTTCCTGAACCTTAGCTCGCTGCTGAACCTTTGTGTGATGAAGTCCTCGGCTTGTGTCAGGACGACCGGCAAGCCATTGCAATCCCGTGCAAGTTGCTCTCAAGGAGGTTACAAAAGATGCAGCTTGCTCACGTGTGTGATGCATTCTATTCGTTCCAGGAAAAGCAGTTTTATATCAGCTGCACCATACCCAGCTTGTGCAGGCCAAACCAAAGGAGGTGAAGCAGTCCGGCGCTCGCACTTTTGAATGCAGGATACCTTCATGCCCGCTTGCATGCTTTTTTCTGTAGCTTGGAGCAGCATCACGCTGGAATGCAGAAGCCATGAATGGTCATCGCCAGGCTGCATGCGTGGATTCAGCTCAGGCCGAGGCAAGCAAAAGAGGAGGAAGAGGAAGAGGAGGAAGAGGAGCAGGAGGAGGACAAGCAGGAAGAAGAGCGGGAAGAAGAGGAGCAGGCAGAGGTGGAAGTGGAGGAAGAAGCGGAGCAGGAAGCAGATGACGACGAGGAGGCTCCCGTGGAGATAGAGGATGAAGAGCAGGTCGAGATAGAGACAGAAGAGACACAGCAAGCCCAAGAGGCCGAAGAGGACGCCCAGCCAGCACAGCCCGTTGAAGCAGAGCCGGAAGCTCAGGCAGAGGAGCCCCAGGAGCCACCGGTGGTGCAAGAAAAGGCACTGCCTGCTCAGGCGCTCTGGGTTTGTGCAGTCTGCATGGAGCGTAACCTTGAAGGAACCCTGCACCCAAGCAGTGCCTGCAAAAAGCGCGTAGTTGTGTTTCATTCAGTTTCCTTCAGCCATAGCAAGGATGCCGGATACTTGAATGCATATGTATCACGTGTGTTTGCCAGGCAAAGAAAAGAAAGACGGGCCAGCGAGAGGCACCGGTGAAGGACCCTTTGCCCCCTCCGGAGCCCAGCCATAGCCGACGCAAGGCAGGAGGGCGGGAGGGACGGGTGGGAGGGTCGTTGGGCACAGCCTTACGTGTAAATGCCTGGGCACTTGGCTGTGAACGATATGGGTAGGGCTTCAGCGGCTGCGATTGGATTTGCAGTACGTCCTTGTCAGGCAGCCATGGCACCTCCACCGCCTCCACCAGCTCAGGCCAGCATCTAACTCACCCTTCATCCTTGTGAAGCCCTGACACCAGTCGCACGTGAACTGTGGCAAGGAAAGTTCGCTTTCAATCTGACAGTAGAACTTGTAGAGCCGTAAGTGGTGCGCAGTTGACGGAACCAAGCGAGCATGCAACAGTTCAGGTGCCATCTAGGGCCAAAGCGAAAGCTGCCCGAAAGCGCAAGGCCTCTTGCTCGTCCTCTGCACCCCTTTGGTGTCCTCAACTTTTGCGCGAAGAGGCAGAGCCCAAGTCCCCGCCTCCAGCCCGACGAGCTGAGCCCGAGAGCCCGTCGCCCGCAGGGATGCCCAGAACTTTTGCAGAAGATTCATGTAGAGATTGCAGAGATGCGCTTGGAATGGAAGGGAGCTTTAATATCCAGTAGAGGTTGTGGCTGCAAGGTTGCCTAGAGTATGCGCACTGCTGAACCTGTGTGGGTAGTGTGAACTGATGCGTGTGTTCATGCGCTTGCGTTCGGCGCGCTTCAGCTTGCGTGTAAGAATTGCTGAAGTAGAGGCCATCCCCACCCATCTGCTGAGGGGAGGAAGCCGGGATTCATCAGGCTGGACCTGTTGCAGTTTTGAAGTACTCGCCGGTGTGCAGACATTTGTGTGTTTCAGAGTTCAGGACTTCTTATTATTTGATAGGATGAGGGGACGTCTAGTTTGGCGTGTCCGTTTTGCCTCTCAGGGGTGCCCGAGTGCGGATCCTCTCTACCAACGACAAGCGGGGAGAGTCAGGCACTGAGAGACTGAAAAGCGAATGCAATCTGCTGATTCGCACTTTTGGCAGCTATTAGTGTGACCTGGCATGGAATCACAAGGACAGGAATCCTTGGCCAGTACAACGTGGACAAAGATCTATGGGAGGTGGAGTGCACTTCTAGTGAAGTGCTGCCCGTGCCAATGTGCTGCACCTCGCTTGCCACTCAAATTCGCATGACCTGACAGTTCAAAGCGCAGGTCACTGGAGAATTTGGCACTGAGTGGCCTAAGACTCGGGTGACCTGATCTTTTGGTGCCCAGGTAGACCTCACGGCAACGGCAACATAGTTTTGTAATCTCTGTTGAGGTTTGACTCAGACAGCCTCGCGTCAGCCTCCCAGAGTCAGCGAAGACCTGTACTTTTCTGAAACCTCACGGATCCTCAGGGATCCCCACGGTCTCAGGTTTTTCGTGGCCAAGCGACCCGGCCAGGTGTATTTGGATGAGGACGCCCCGTCTGCGGGCATGTTGCGAGATGAAGGCATCAGGCTTGAGGTTTCGCTTCAAGTGCCAAGGCGCTTTCAATACTTACATGTTGTGACCCGCGAAGGATTGAGAATCGACAGATGTACAGACGCCATCCGGGAGCCAGTCAGGGGCTCAATATGCAAACATGCTACATGCCCAACTTTACATTTTGAGCATTCCTGAAAGGTCTACGTCTTGACGATGGCTGCCTGCGGCGCTTCTTCACGCAAGTTTAGATGGTGTTTTCAGCAACATCTGATGCTGGCGTGTGTGTTGTCCACCTAGTAAGTGGCTGCGTCGGGTAGAAGGCGTTGCCTTGCTTATGGTGATCAGTGGACTCTGCAGGAACCGATCCCTGTTAAATCATTGAATCCTGAGTTAGAGGCACGACCAGCAACTTTGGTAACAATAATGTAGGCTAGCAGCGTCCTTGATGCAAGCATTGGCAGGTCCGCAACCTTTCCAGCATGTAGATGCGAGTGGTGGACCGCGAGTCTTCTCACAATTGCTGTTGATGAACACATCTCCAAGGCAGCAGGCTGTCAGGTTCAAAGACTCTGCGACCTTCCGACCCCTCTCATCCCAGCTGCTGTACAATTTCGCGAGATATCCGCGACATTGTAGATGATGTTGATGAACGTCAGGATGAAGACAGTAGTGCAAGCTACAAGTGTCGCTGGAGAGCCAGATCGTGCTAAATTCATTTAAATTTAAAACGCAGCCTGATGCCCTGTCAGGAAAAACATGCAGCACAGGGGCTTGTTTGTTTGCTGAGTTACTCATTGCAGTTAAGCCAGTCAAGCCATACAAAAGTAGAGCTGCACAGATGCTTCACATCTTCCGTATCTTCCAATGCATTGAGGCAGAGATTTGGCTGTTGGCGCAGCACACTGGCTTTCAAATGCGTTTCGCATCAGGATCCTAGCGGCCCCTTTCAGGTTTCTTTCACGTGAGACCCCAAGTCTGAGGCTCCGCAGTCTACGCAGCCTCTTCCCATGCTACGGATGCCTTGGAGATCTCAGTCCTGGCGTGCCAGCCATGGGCATGGGCGCATCTGTCAGGCGGGAACCGCCCGGCCCACCACAGGACGCAATTCCAAGCCTCCTCAGCAGAGCAGAACATGATGGGACTGCTCGTCCTACTAGTCGTAAACTTGATTTGCAAATGAACCGAGCACGGCATATCGCTGCAGGACCTGAGCGAGAACGGGGCCTACCTTGAGGTCAAGGCAGACGCTGGAACTGCACCAGCTGTGCCAGCTGTGCCAGCCTCAGCTCAATTTCTGAATCCAGAATTCATTGCAAGTGATTTCAAGTGTATGCAAATATGACAGACATCGCCGATGGAGGAGAATACCAGTGCAAATCTTTGGTATTTGCTTGGAGAAGCCCGACCTCACAAGCAAGGATCATTTGGGTTTGATTGTCTTTTAGGATGCTGACGCTTCAACATGGCTATTTGTGTGGCATCAAATCAAGTCCTATTGGAGCACCAGTTTCGGCATGTTTCAGCTCAAAGTCGGCGGAGACTTGCACGACTCCTATCGAATGACAAAGCAAGCGGCTGCCAGCGTCAACCTGAGCCAGCCAATCAAACAAGTCCCTGAAACTGGACACACGAGAAGACACTCCAGTTTCTCCCAAGATGTGGGCAGCCTATAAAGCGGTTCACCGCAGCAGAGGGAGGGGAAAAGATCCCACGAGTTTTCATGGCTGCAAAGAGAGACTTGTTGGGAGGATTTGGGAGGGTCTGTTGGGATGGTGCAGGGTGCATAAAGCCTATCCAATATGCCCCGCCATTATCCGGGCGTAGGCGTTCCTGACCAACACTGGGTAAACTCAGGTGCCTACAGCTGCTGAAAACAAAAAGGCTGGTTGCCATCATGTTGCCTCAAGATTGCCTTGCCTGGTGCAGGAAGGCGACAATGCAGCCGAGCAGGTAACAACTTCACCGGCTTCTGCACCTGACGTGGCCCCAGTGCGATTCCCAGTCCAAGAGTCTTCACGCAAAGTGCCGCGCGTCAAACGATCTGTGGCATTCTGCGGCAAAACATGAAAGGCCACGGAGCCGACTCATCTGGCCAGCGGGCAATCGGACTCTGGGGGCCCAGCCCTTGAGTCTTAAGCTTGCTTTGGAGCCCGGAATGCTTATGTTAGGATTTTCACGTGCGAGGCCCTGCGGCTGCTTTGGTGCAAGCTGTGGAGGTGAGAGCTTGGTTGACCCGCTTTATTGTTTCGGCCGCTCAATGTAAACCTGGCTGTTTGCTGGATGCAGATGCCTAGCCTTCATAGTTGCCAGC